AAATTATTATGGAAGATAGGGTAGAAAGACTGCAAGAGCCAGAGGAATAGGAAGTTTTCTGTGAGGCTGTGTCTCCTAAAAGTTTCAGAAGCAACACCCATGAAGTCTTACCAACACTGTTTCTTAAACATTACTTGAACAAGGATGGCACCAAAAGACATGCTAATATACAATGGGAAAAAGAAAGCATCTTCAACAAATGGTGCTGGCATAACTGGAGGCTAGCATGTAGAAGAATGCGGATCGATCCATGTTTATCGCCATGTACAAAACTTAAATCCAAATGGATCAAAGACCTCAGCATAAATCCAGCCACACTGATCCTCTTAGAAGAGAAAATGGGAGGTACCCCTGAACGAATTTGTACAGGATACAGCTTCCTGAACATAACACCAGTAGCACAGACAGTGAGATCAATAATTAATAAATGGGACCTCCTGAAACTGAGAAGCTTCTGTAAGGCAAAGGGCACAATCAACAAGACAAAAAGGCAGCCCACAGAATGGGAAAAAATATTCACTAACCCCACATTTGACAGAGGGTTGATCTCTAAAATTTACAAAGAACTCAAGAAGCAAGTCTCCAAAACACCAAAGGATCCAATTAAAAAGTGGGGTACAGAACTAAATAGAGAATTTTCAATAGAGGAGTCTAAAATGGCTGAGAGGCACTTGAGAAAGTGCTCAACATCCTCAGCCATCCGGGAAATGCAAATCAAAACAACTCTGTTATGAGAAGCTTTCCTTGTTAGCTGCTTTGGTTTATCCCCCGCCAGCCGCCTGGGCTCTGCCGCATTGTAGTCCCCAAATAAACACACAAGACACTCTATTAATTATGAAGCTGTTGGCCTTGCTTGTTTCTTACTGGCTAGCTCTGACTTAAGTAATTACCCCATAATTGTTAATCTAAGTATGTCTCTTACCGGAGAATAGTTCCGGGCTCCTACCCTATGGCGTTACATCTTTACTCTCTTGTGTTTCTCCTTCCCAGAGTTCTCCTGGACTCCTAGTCCCTCCCATCTAGATTCCCTATAGGCCAGACAGTGCTTTATTGACATAAGACTTCCCCAACACAACTCTGAGATACCATCTCACTCCTGTCAGAATGGCTAAAATCAAAAGCACCAACGACAATTTATGCTGGAGAGGATGTGGTAAAAGGGGACACTCCTCCACTACTGGTGGGAGTGCCAACTTGTTCAGCCACTTTGGAAATCAGTATGGAGATTCCTCAGAAAAATGGGAATAAACCTACCACAAGACCCAGCAACTCCACTCTTAGGCATATATCCAAAAGATGCCCATTCATACAACAAGGATGTCTGTTCCACTATGTTCATAGCAGCATTATTTGTAATAGCCAGAACTTGGAAGCAACCTAGATGCCCCTCAACCGAAGAGTGGATAGAGAAAATGTGGTACACTTACACAATGGAGTACTATTCAGCAGAAAAAAACAATGGAATCCTGAGATTTGCAGGCAAATGGATGACACTAGAAGAAACCATCCTGAGTGAGGTAACCCAGTCACAAAAAGAGAAACATGGCATTTACTCTCTCATATATGGATTTTAGACATAGATCTGGGGAGTGCCAGCCTACAATCCCATGGCCAGAGAGTCTGGGAAACAGAACCTTCATTCAGTGGCTGATGGAAGAATAGGCAGACTCCCACAGCTAAGCACTGAGCTGAACTCAAGAAAGCCAGTAACAGAGAGGGAGGACTGATAACCAAAGGGATTAAAACTGGGTTGGTTTAACCCCCCAGAAACAGCTGACCTGACAAGGGTTAGCTCTTGAATCCCAGGCTGATGCCTGGGAATCCAGCATGGGACTGATCAAGACCCCCTGAATGGGGATGTTGGTGAGTAGGCCTAGGTAATCTATTGAGCCTTGGGCAGCAGATCAGTATTCATCCTGAGTATACACATGGACTTTGGACTCCCATCCAACAATGTGAGATGCACTCTCACCCTGAACTCTTGGGGGAGGGTCTAGATCCTGCCCTGGATGAAATGACAGAATATGGACACCCCCAAAGAGGGCCTCACCCTCCCTGGGGAAATGAGGGGTTATTGGGGGGGTTGGGGGGAGGGCGTGGGAGGAGGGGAGGGAAACGGAGAGGGACCTGGAACTGACTTGTGAAGCAACCTTGTTTCTAATTTAAATTTAAAAATAAATAATAAAAAAGAAAAAAAAACATGACTTGAACAAGGATGGCACCAAAAGACATGATAACATGAATGGGGCAAGCTTGTGAGGCCTAAACTTTACACAATATCGATAAGCAACTAAGGAATGCTGAGAGCAGGGAAAATAAATCTTCCCCGGGGAAGAGCATACTAATTGGTTACCTAACAACCAACAATCGGCCTTGAAAAAAAAATATATATATATATATATATATACAAGTAACATTATATAGGTTAAGCAGGTTTTATTTGTGTATTTAGGAATAGACACACACACACACACACACACACAATTAATGAAAAAGAAGGCCAACAATTTGAAAGAGAGAAAGGATTGGTATACAAGGTTTGAAGGGAGGAAAGGAGGAAATGAAATAACTGTATTATAATCTCAAAGTATAAAAGAAAAAATTCTTAAAATGTTTAAAAAACAGGTCCAATTATGTTCAGTCTAACAGTAAGTAGATAAATTAGATAGAACATCAAGACTACTTACATGATAATATTGGGAAATTGTGAAATACTGACAGTTTTAAATAATTGTTTTTTTAATTATGTATATGTATATTGTGTGTATCTATTTGTGAGCATGTACATGTGAATAGTTCACATAGAGGCCAGAGGTATTGGATCCACAAGTAGATTGCTGCGAGCTACCACATGGGAATGCTGGGAATTAAGCTTGGAGTTTCTTAGAGCAGGACACATTCCAACCCTACTAAGTCACCCCTTCAACTCCAAAAACTTTTTTTTTGAGACAGTCTCCAGGCAGTCAAGACTGGTCATTTCTAAGAGAAGGCATACACTAGAAAAATTGGAGCTTGAATAAAGCAAAAAGTATACTTCTTTTTGAAAAGTGTGAGTCAACATGTAGTAAAAGACATACATTTTATCAATATGAAACTCCGATTCCATGTATATATCCTAACCTAGTATTAAAAGGACCATACACATTTCTTTTTTTTTTTTTTGGTTTTTACGAGACAGGGTTTCTCTGTATTGTTTCAGAGGCTATCGGTCCAGCTCGGCCTCGAACTCACAGAGATCCGCCTGCCTCTGCCTCCCGAGTGCTGGGATTAAAGGCGTGCGCCACCACTGCCCGGATGGGCATAACCAATGAGTAAGACTACAAGTTTTCACATCTTAAAGCTCTTGTTTGAATCTATTAAAGCCCTTGTTTGAATCTATCTCTAGTCTATATTTATTCACAAAACTCCCCTTCTATCATTCTTTTCTTATATTTTTGGTTGTGAGCCTAGCCTTTAACGGCTGAGCCATCTCTCCAGCCCCTATCATTCTTTCCTTAAAAAGGCATGCCTCTCACTCACTGTAGATGTTACTATAAGGTTCCTTTTGTGTGATAACACCATCCAGGCATGAAATACACAATTCAAGAAGGCAATGTCATGAAAAATAGGAAGAAACAAAGCCAAAATACCTTGCATAACAAAAATTAAAGATAAAATAGTACCTTTTTTAATTCAGGGAACAATCTTAAATAAGTAAATGGAATCCCAGGGACACATATCAATTTATCTGTTTGAGTATTAATAAAGTCAGAATATTCTTATTGTGTTCAATATAGTTGCTTAGTCAACTTAATTAACTAAGTTGCTGAGCAGGCATTTTCAATTATTAAAATAAAGCCAAATATAGAGGTATAACATGTGACATTCCTGTACCTTTTAAACTTAGAATGAATTTCAAGAACAAATGAATAAATCCATAATTTTTCAAAAGCAATCTAGAGGGATGTAAGCAAAAACTTTGAAAACCATTGTCTTAGAAGAGCTTACATACATACAAGATCTAGTTGTATGTATAGCATTGATTGCAGAAAAAAATTAAAAATGTCCATGACTAGAGGAACATAAAAATAATATACCAAAAATAGAATATTGTAAAATATTAAAATAAGTGACCCAATATATAAGGGTTAAAATAGTTTTGTTACTTTTTATTTTATGTGTATTGTTTTGCCATAGATGTTGGGTCCCTGGGCACTGAGTTATGGACAGTTATGAGCTGCCATGTGGGTGCTGGGAATTGAACTTGGGTCTTTTGGAAGAGAAGCTAGTGCTCTTAATCACTAAGCCATCTCTCTAGCCTCTAAGGGTTTAAACAGTATTTCCACAAGAGCCAATTGTTTAACCCTCAAAAATAAGATTCAAATTAAAAGCCAGATTATTTATACTGTGTTTAAAAACTACCCAAGGAGTTCCATATATTCTTACTGGAACATGTATTTGCAATAAAAATATACAAGGAGAAGATATTCTGTACAAGAAAGGATAAAAGATATGGAAATAAGAAACTACCTGAATTTGCCATACTTTTTTACCTTTCAAAGAACTTAAATTAATATGGAAAAGTATTAACATTTGTTAAATTTGGGTAGTAGGGATGTAGTTTTAACATTGTGCTTTAAATATTTCAGGATCAGGTCCAGTGAGATGGCTTAATGCATAAAGCTCCCTGGCCCTTTATGGTGGAAGAAGAGAATCAGCTCTTGCAAATTGTACTCTGACCTCCACATTCATTGGTTGATACAAACAATAAATAAGAAAATGTAAAACAAATCATCAAATACATAAGAACAAAAACAAATCTTAAAAAATATTTGGTAGAAGCCGGGTGGTGGTGGTGCACGCCTTTAATCCCAGCACTCGGGAGGCAGAGGCAGGCGGATCTCTGTGAGTTCGAGGCTGGGCTGGACCGATAACCTCCAAAACAATACAGAGAAACCCTGTCTCATAAAAAAACCAAAAGAAAATTTGGTAGAAACTCTTGTAAAATGAAAATTACTTACAGGCCAAGATGGTGGGACAGAAGTTACTTCTGGAGTATGAAAATAAGCAACACCATTATGGTAAGTATAAGGATATCCAGTTGAAGTGGTCAGATACATTGTTCCAGCAGCAGGCATTAAACTGGAACCTAAAGCAAATGATAAATATAAAAATAAAAATGGAAGTGTTTCATTTAATTATATAAACATATAATTTATGAAAACATTTAAGAAAAATATTTTAAGATTTCTGCATCGCTACATTAAAACTAAAATATTTAAAATTCTATGTATTAAAGTCTCTTTGAACAATCCATTTTTAAACTTAATATCTCAGAGCTTTTATATTATAGAGATTAAGTAATAAGGTAAATAAATATTAAAAATCCTCCAATTCATATTCTGATGCCACTTTAATGAAACAATTATTAGTGACTAAACTATTATTCTTACAAATACAAATTATATAGATAACCTGAAAACTACAGATCCTACAGTAGAGTTCCTAAGATCTTGACTGGACCTATTTATAAAAGCTCAAAGATGATGGAGACAGTGAAGTTGGAGATGATTCTATTTTCCTACAGGCAGTTGGGTCCATTTTACTAATTCCTTGGGCTTATAATCAGCAGAATTTATTCATGTTATGATAGTCTTTTATCTCTACTTTCCCTTTGGTTATAACTTCTACCACTAACTTCTTAATGCAGCTAGTCTAGGATCTCCTTCTGATTTTTTAGTTCAGGATTTACACACACACACACACACACACACACACACACACACACTCACCACTCACACACACACACCATCTCCCTCTGTTTTTTTTAGTTCAGGATTCTCTCTCTTGCTCACTCATATTGTCAATGAGACTTTAAAAGCTACATAAAGGCCAGGGAAGCACAATCATGATGACCTTGTATTTGAATTCAGATCCCTAGCATCTGTATACAAAGTCATTTATGGAAATACACATCTGTAATCCTAGTTGTGAGGGGTGGGTGGGGAGGGGATGGAGACAGGCAGATAGCCAGAGCTTTCTGGATGTCCAGTCTAGCCAATCAGTGAGTGAGTACCAGGTTCAGTGAGACACTTTTGTCTCAAAAATAAGGTGGAGAGCAATAGGAGAGGTTATTCTGGTTCAACTTCTAACATCTACACACACAAGAACATGTGTGTATACATGCAAATATATACACATGCTATGTAGACAATATGTATATCATATGACCTAAATTATACTATTTACCCACTGACCACTGTGGTAGAATATTATTTTAAGGTGTGTGACTTTTTTATGTTGCATTTGTTTAACTCTCTGAAGCTGTGTTACTGTGGCTGTCTAAAACAATTAGTGGTCCCAATAAAGAGCTGTAAGGCCAATAGCAAAGCAGGAGCAAGGATAGGCGGGATTGGCAGGGAGAGAGTATAAACAGGAGAAACAAAGAAGGTGAGGAGCAAGAGAACAAAGAAATGAGGACATCAGTGGCTAGCCATCCAGCCAGCCATGGAGTAAGAAGGTAAATAAGATACACAAAAGAAAAATAAAAAGCCCAGAGGGAAAAGGTACACAGGATAATTTAAGATAAAAAAGCTGGCTAGCAACAAGTCAAGCTAAGGTCAGGCGTTCATAAGTAATTTTAAGACTCCATGTGTGATTTATGTGGGTGTGGAGTGATGGGCACCCTCAAAAAAGCCAAAAAGTAAAAGGCTAAAACATCCAACAATATTTCCTCCCATTATGCCAGAACTTCTTAAGCCTCAACATACATTAGATTTGCGTAGTTTAATTAATGTCAATATTTAATGTATATGTGTATATGGAGGTCAGAAGATTAACTGTGGGAGTCAGTTCTAATCTTCTATCATATGAACTCTAGGGTCTGATAGGCAAACTAGGTGGCAAGTGATATTTTGTTAGCCCTATTTTTGGTTGCCCTGGCCAGCAGGGCACAATGTGTTCGAGCCCATGGGAACCTGGAATGAATGAGACAAGAGACACAAGAGAGATGGACAGCAAGACAGACCTTCCGATCAAGCTGTTGTTTAATGAAAGTCTGTACAGGCTTAAATAGGGGAATGTGGCATTGGCCATGGGGTGGAGGTTGTTAGACTGGAGACACTGAGAAGTAAGGCAGCAGGAGCGTTTGATATGGGATGGGCAGGAGATCTCACCAGGGAGTGCAGGTGTTAAGGAAGCATTGTTAAGTGATGGGTTACCTCTATGGCACCAGGCCATCTGTGGGAAGGTACCTGTGTTTTGGGAAGTGCCTTTACAGTGATCTGGTCCTCAACATTTAGTGGATTTTAAAGCCACCTTTGAAAATTTCATTTCCTAATTATATCTACTTGATCTCCTTCTGTTGTCTTATTGCTCTAGCTAAGGCTCCAATTTCTATACTGGAAAAGGTATGGAAAAAGTGGACATCCATGTCTTGTTCCTAACTTTGGTGGAAGTGCTTTTGAGTTTCTCTGTTTAGGTTGATGTTGGCTGTGGGCTTGTTATAAATTGCCTTTGTATCATGAGTGGATGTTGGATTTTGTTAAAGGCCCTTTCTGTACCTAATAAGATGATCATGTGGTTTTGTCTTTCAGTCTATTTATATGGTGGATTGTATTTACTGACTCATGTATGTTACATGTGAATACATATCCTGTATCTGTGGGATGAAGGCTACGTTTATCATGGTGGATGATCTTTTTGATGTTGTTTCTGAATTCAGTTTACAAGTATTTTATTCAAAATTTTTTATATCTATGCTCACAAGGGATATTTGTCTGTAATCTTTTTTCTTGTTGTTGTTGGTTTAGGTATCAGGGTAATTGTGACCTTGGAAAAAGAATTGGGAAATGTTCCTTCAGTTTCTACTTTGTGGAATAATTTAAGGACTATTGGCGTTAGTTATTCTTTGAAGGTCTGGTGGCATTATGCACTGCATTCATCTGACCCTGGCCTTGTCTGTTTTTGGTTGGGAGATTTAAAATTACTGCTTTGATTTTACTAGGGATTATGGGTCTGTCTAAACATTCTATTTCCTTTTGATTTAACTTTGGTAGTTATCTATTTAAAGAAATTTATCTGATGAAATCAATGAACATTTATCGCAAGTATATATGGTTAAAATTTAATATACAATTTGAGGTTTATAGTTCATCTGTTAAGTAAATCAATACATTTTTAGTGCATATTGTAAAATGACACTGAGCTAGGAATGGTATAAAGCAAAAAGTTGAAAAACTTTGGTTCTGATATGTAACATAGTCATTACACAATTACATGATTAGTTAGTTAAATAAATAACTTTTGAGGTTTAAAAAATTTTAAATTATGTGTATATCTCTGTGTGGATATGTGCACCAGTATAGTGTCCATGAAGGTTAGAGGCATTAGGTCTTTCTGGAGCTGGAATTACAGTCATCTGATGTGGGTGATGAGAATCAAACTCATGTCCTCAGGGAGAGCTGTGCTCTTAACTGCAGAGTCATTTCTCTAGTGTCCTTAATAAAAGTTTTAACGAATATGTGAAAAACCAGTATAGAGCAGAATATTAGGTAGTATAGAGTACTATGTTGAATGTTTACATTATTTTACATACAAATACATAAAATTAATCTTCCTCTTTACTCTATGGAGCATCTGTGAAGAATGGTATCTAATTTGGGCTTCAAAGAAAGAACGAGATGTCAAGAGTACTCCAGGTAAAGGAAACAGTAGTATGTAGAGTCTTGAGAAGTATGGCATGGTCTGGTATTGAGAAGGCTTTTGGCACTTGCACAAAAGGAAAGGGAAAGAATAATTAAAAATAAGCGGTGAATAAGATGATGTAAGGTGATGTGTGATTTTTAAATATTGCTTTGGTTGTTTTGTGAATGATTAAGCAGCAGACTGCATATAAAAGGACCCATTAGGAGAGTTTCCCAGTAATGAAAGCAAGTAGACGACTGCTGGAAAAGAAAGCTGGTAATGAAATAAAAAAGAAATTTGAGAAAAACCAAGGTATGACTTTCTTATAATTGCAGAAATAAATTTTAGTATTTATTTATTTGCAGAGAAAATAAAAATAGCTTTAGAGCCTAGAAGTCTTGGAACGGAGTCCAATGCTACCATTTGGACAAGTTAATCCTACACTTCTGACATTAGAATATGGGGTGTTATATCTGGAGACAAGGTATAGGGTGATGTTTTCACTGTGGCAGTTTAATTCAAACAATTCATACTAAGAAACAATGCAAATTGTCCATGGAGGTTGTAAATAAACTAAGAAAATATGGAATTCCAGTGTACAATGGATTAAGATCCACAACAAAGTTAGATAAACCAGACTCAGAAAGACAAGTAACAGCTGTCTTCTTTCATATGCTTATTCCAGCTTTAAATGTTTAGAGGTGTGTGTGTGTGTGTGTGTGTGTGTGAGCAAGTCATATAAACAGAAAGAGGTCTGTGAGAAGGGAAAATGAAGTGCTGAGAGTTGAGGAACAGGAACCCCATGATACGACAATAGATAAGAAGCTACTTGGGGTGGAAGGATGGATAGAAGGCAGGGAGATATGGGAGAAACAGGGTTTAGAGGAGGATCCACAACACAAATTATGTTTGCAAAAGCTATCATGTAGAGCAGGGGTTCTCAATCTTCCTAATACTGGGCCCTTTAATACCATTCCTCATATTATGGTGACCCCCAACCATAAAATAGCTGTAATTTTGCTACTGTTGTGAATTACAATATAAATATGATATGCAGAATATCTAATATGACACCTGTGAGAAAGTCATTCACAGATTAAGAACCACTGACATAACAGGGTTAAAATCTAAGGTTCATAAAGAACAACAACAACAATAAAAAAACTGAACACCAAGGAAACACCCAACAAAATATGGGGTACAGAACTAAAGAGCACTCATAGAGGAATTTCAAATGACGGAGAAACACTTAAAAATATTTAATATCTTTAGTCATCAGAAAAATGCAAACCAAAATGACTTTGAGATTTCATTTTATAGCCAATGGCTAAGATAAATAAATGACAGCTCATGCTGTGAGGATGTGGAGTAAGGGGAATAGTCATCCATTGCTAGTGGGAGTGCAAACTTGTACAAGAAATCAGTGTGGTGATTCCTCAGGAAGCTGGGAATAGATCCATCTCAAGATCCAGTTTTACCATTCTTGGTCATATATTCAAAGGACTCTATATCCTATTACAAAAAACACTTGCTCATCCATGTTCATTGACTTTCTATTCATAATAGCCACACATTGGAAACAGCCTAGTTGTCCACCAACAGATGAATGAATACAGAAAATGTGGTATAATTACACAATGGAATATTTTAAAAAATCATGAAATTTGCAGGTAAATGGAGCTAGAAAAAAATCATCCTGAGGTAACCCAAACACAAAAGGACACAGTATGTATTCTCTTGCATGTTAATTTTAGCTTTTAAAACTTTAAAAGGCATGCTACAATGTATATAATCATGGAACTTAGGTTTACAGTAAGGGATGAAGGGAGAGAGAGAAATTCCCTAAAAGATAGAATATATAGATATGGAGAAATGGGAGTATGGGGAGAGATTGAAACGGGAAGATTAAAAGAAGAGGGGGAGGGAAGAATAGGGAAAGAAGAAGTAATATTAGGGGCCATTTGAGGGGTTATATGAAGGTGTGCTATGGTAGAAGCTTCTTAAAATATACATTTATGCAAAAAAATCTAAATGAAGTCGGCAAATAATATGGGGGGATGATTATTCGCCAACTAGAGATCTCTAGCCTCTAAGTAAAACCTGCAGGCCCAGGAATGGGTTACATATAACTGAGTTGTTGACTGAAGGGGCCCCAATGGAAACTCCCAAACAACTATTGCCAAGACTATTGGTTGCTTTCCACAAATTTATGGTGAGGTCCTATTGTTGAATACAACATTTAAATATCTTATTGAACACTGAAAAGTTGAGCTGATGCTCAAGCAGAGCCTTCACCCCTATTGACTAGTGTTTGCGGTACTGGAAAGTACTCTGCATGTTAATCCATCTACAAACTCTGCAATTTCCAACAGTTAACTGCCTGCATGATACACTGGTGCAATAGTGGCACAGATGCAAGAGCAACCAACTACTATCTGACTGGATTTAAGGCCCATTCACGTGATGGAATCCATGCCTGACACTGCTGGGGTCTAAATAGGCCACAGACCCAGGGAAAAACCAACTACTATTGTTCTGCTGAAGGAGCACAGCAATAAACTGACTCTTAATTACCTTCTCCTATACCTATAGGGCAGTGCCTTGCTCAGTCATCATCAGAGAAGGTGATCATTCCTCCTACAGGAGATGGGAACTAACATGGAGACCCACAACAGGTCAATGTATAGAGAGTGACAGACTTTGGAAACACTTTTGGAACATCTCAATTGGGATGTCATCATCAACTCTTTGTCCCCTGCTATCAGGGCTCAGGGAGGTATGAAGGAGAGGTGAAAGATTCAAAGAGTCAAGTGGGATGAATTGACACCTGGAACACAGTGTTAGACACAACAGGAATGACCCACATATGAGTTCACAGAGACAATGGTATGCATAGGGCTGCATACGTTCAAGTCAGATGGGGGGGTCCCAGCATTGAGGAAGTGGACATGAGCTCCCATCCCTAGCCAAGAAGCTATCTGTAGTTGACAACTGCATGTAAAGGAAAACCGTGGTGTTGGTTGGCTGGGGAGGATCTAGGGGAAAGTAAATCATGATCAGAATATACTGTGTGAATTTTCAATAAAAAGAAAATTCTACTATGAAGCACAGTACTTTTTGTGCTAATTGAAAGTAGTTATTTTCCTTTAAGCTGTAGTTATACAGAATACACTTAATATTGTTCATGTATATTTCCTCTATACCTCAAACTAAGATATTTTAATTTGTTAAAAATAATTATATGACTACCAACTTTGCTAGTAATTATTACATAAGGAAACAGGATATTTTAATAAAAGATGTACAATAGTCTAATATTTCATAAAAGGACCATGTAAAATATTTAAAAAAGTACATTAGTTCTCAATACATACGAGGAATCCCTACTTGTTGTTTTCTTATTGCTGGACCAATGTTCAGTTTCTTATCCTTATAATTAAGTTTTTCAGCCTAAAATAAAGGAAAAAGTCCATCACCATGATTTATAAAATCATTTGACACCATGATTTGTAAACTCTGACACTATGATTTATAAGATCAGTGAAGAAAAACCAGTATGAAACTAGCAGACATTGTGCGACAGTTTTCTTCTTCTTTTTTAAAATTCAAGGTCTCATGAATCCCAGGCTGTGCTAAAATCTAATATATTATCAGACAACTTTGAATTTCTGATCCTTTTGCTTATACCTCTTAAGTGCTGCGATTACAGGCACATGCCTCATTGCCCAGTTTATGTAGTATTGGGAATAACTATGCTACCTAATGAGTTACATCTCCAGTCTCAAAAGGTGGTCTGGATTCAAGTAACTGTCATTATCTTGGTTCTACTGCTATGAGTTTAGGTGAAGCAGTAATCATCATCATTAGTTACTGATTATGTATTTGCAACTCAGGTATTCTCTAAAGTTTATTTGCAATTTCCAATCACTATTTATAGTAATTTCAAGGTTATTTGTGGACATGTACAGAAAATGTGAATAGTCCAATACAAAAGAACCCAGGTAAGATCAAAGTGATATTTTTTTCTTGGTCTAGCCATCATATTATAACCAAATGTCCTTTTTAGGTATGTTTTGTACATTATGTGCTATTTTTTAAAAATTAAAATGCCTCGCAGGTGCTGAAATATTAGCTAATATTCCTAAGCACAAGAAGGTTGTCATATATTTTATGGAGAAAATGTATTGCCATGTTTAATTCATATATTATAGTCCTATTAGCCACGAATCCAATGTCAGTGATTAACAATTGTTATATTGTTTATTATGGTTTGGATATGAAGTGTCCACCTCTTCTCAAAGTAGTTCATGTGTTGAATTCTTTGTCTCAGCTGATAGATACACTCATAGAAGGTGATCAGATGATAAGGGATTGGATTTAACAGAATACTTCTGGGTTAATAATCTGAGAGCATTATTGGGAGATGAGGGAACTTCTAAGGGTAAGGTTTAGTTGGAGGCAGCAAGTCATGGTATGCATATTATTGAGAATTATAGCGCATCCTAGATCTCTTCCTCAGTCAGTCTCTGTTTCCTGGCTATTCACAGTCATAATGTCCTAGCTTGCCTAAGGCCCACAGCAACAGAACCAGTAAGCTTTGAGCTGAGACCTGTGAAACCATGAGCTGAAATAATCGTTCCATCTTTTAAGCAGTCTCTCTCAGATCTTTGTGACAAGCAATAAAAAGTTTTGCTAACACAATTTCTTTAAAGAGGAACACATGAAACCAGGTTATATGCTGATTTACTGGTGGCAATATTCTTACTAGAGGGTTTTTGGACTCTTATCTTGTATTTCAACTAGGAACAACAGAAGTTCACTATTCACTAATTCAGTTTTATGTTAACTTTACAGAATAAAACTATTATGGATATGAACTGACTGTGTTTGATCTTAATAATACATAATTAAACTACCTTTTTAAAAAAGGTTATATGTTATACTTGCCATAAGTTAAAAGATACCAAAATGAACTACAGGTTATAGACATCTTGCTAAAGCATGTTACTGGTTTATGTAGTTTTTCATAGGAAGGAAATAATATCAGGTAATTTTATTCTAGTGATCTACATTTGTAATGTTTCTAAAGAATTACAAAAACCATTTACACATCACAGAGATATGTTCTTAAATCACTAGTTTAAGCAAATAAAATAAAATACATTGTAACTTAACAATCATCCTCATGTCATGACTTGGAATGTATTGTTATTTAGACTGCTTCTTAGAGGCCAATGGCAATCTAAATACAAACACACAGGTGTGTGTGTGTGTGTGTGTGTGTGTGTGTGTGTGTGTGTGTGTAGATCACTGGCTTGTGATTAATTTCAAAGAAAGAAATTCCAAAAGAAAAGTTAATACACTGAAAGAACTTACCTCTTGTAAGATTTTTTGGGCATCTTCTTGAGTTTCAAAAGTGATGAAACCATACCTAAAAAAATGCATAAATTATTAACACTTTCATAGACTGTTACATTAACTCTTATTTTCCAGTTCTGAGTATTGAACCTAGCAAATTTTTTAAAGCAACTGAACTATATGTCTAAACCTATATTAACATTTTTACTTTTTAAGTATTGCCATTGTATGCTGCATCAGCATGGGAACCATAGATTAATACTGTCTGTCATCCTTGCTTTTCAAAGTGACAGGGACTAGAGAATAAAGAACTCAGGAATCTTCAGTTTTAGTATTGTAATGTTTTTACATTCTGGCTTCAAGACAGGGATGTAACATTTCAGAACAAGACAATCATGTTTGGTTTCTTTCCTTTTTTTCCCCCTCCTCCAGGTATGGATGAAACCCAAGGTTTTGTGCATATAAGGCAAGTGCTTCACTACTGAATACATTTTTAGCCCTGTAATATCCTTAAAAAACAAACAAATAAAAACCCAACCAACCAATCAACCAGCCAACCAAAAAACTTATAAAACATGTTTGCCTTAGATGGAACAGAGTAGAACAATGTCAATAATAAAAGTTTCAATACAAAATTTCTTGTATTTGTATAAGTCTTTACAAATCCATCATTTAAATATTATTGTTACACATAAACTAGCAATATAATATACTACTAGTATATTTCCCAAATAGCAATACAAATACAACCTAATTTTTTATTTTTGTACTTGATCTTTACATGCAAATAACCACAGCAAGGAGGAAGCAGAGGCAAAAGAATTCTGAATTCCAGATCAGACTGGGATAAATGGCAAAAACTATTTTCTAAGGTTAAAAAGAAAAGGAAAAGAAAAAAATTATTCATGAATTATATATGACATGCCCAAAAGGCTAAACTATAGGAAAAATAAAATATATAGTTAACATGTATGTGTCTTGTTTAGATATCAAATAATGCCAAACAACATGATTACCATTTTACTACTGGTAATTAATGTATAATAGTATTCCTTGTTGTTTAATGTTCATTTTTGTGCTGGTGAAGGAAGGTCCTCATTCATTCTACATAGTGCTCTATTACCTGGCTACATCACTAATATCAAAGTAACTTTTTTTTCAAGAATGAAATTCTCTTATCTGTTTGTCCAAACATTGAATATTTTACACTAATTTTTAGTATAACACACCACCCAATGGGAAAACATAGGATAGAATACAACTTGTTTACGTGTATGATTTTTTTTCTGAAATGCCTTTACTCAACTATTTTTGGTGTCTTAATTGATTTTTAAACATAATAGGTTTCACTGTGACATTCTCTTCTTTTTGTTTTTTCAAATCAGGGATTCTCTAGTTGGACTGAAACTTGATTTGTAGACCAAGCTGTCTCAAACTCATTGAGCTTCATCTGCCTCTGCTTCTCTCGAGTGCTGGGATTAAAGGTATGGTTTTTTTTTTAACTCTTTGGTGGGCCTGCCACTCAGCTCCCAAATAAATACACACAGAGATTTACCTTTACTTATGAATGCTTGGCCTTAGCTTGGCTTGTTTCTTGTCAGTTTTTCTTAAATTATCCCATCTATCTTTTGCCCCTGGGCTTTATCTTTGTCTATTCTATATGTCTTTCCTTCCTTCTTACTGTGTGGCTGGCTGTGTAACTGGGTGGATGGCTCCTGGAGTCCACTTTCACTTGATCCCCCCCCACCAGATCTCTGCTCTTATTTATTTTCTCTGCCTTCAAATCCTGCCTATCCTTTCTCCTGTATAGCTATTGGCTGTTCAGCTCTTTATTAGACCAATCAGGTGTTTAAGACAAAGTAACACAGTTTCACAGAAAAACATACAAGAAGGCAACAAATCTTTGCAACAAATATTTCACAGCACAAATAAATGTAAGGCATCTTAAAATAATATTCCACAATGGGTGTGTGCCCAGCTCATTGTGAGATTTTCATAAACTGTATTTAGTATCCTTTGGTTATATTGACTTCCCTTTCTTGTGCGTCTCACTCCTCTCTTCTATTCCACTCCTTAAACAGTCTTCCTTCTGATGTATGCATGTATGGTCACACATGTATGCATAGTCATACACATATTTGTATTTTTCATGAGGGCAAGCATTCAATATTATTTTTATACTCCATTATCCTCTCATTTCCTCCTCTTTTTCCCCCCTCTGGTTCCCTTCCCACTTTCATGGGTAAAGCTCAATTGGAGTCCTTTACACAAAATTCTGGCTTATGACTATATCTTGAAGTAGTCTTTCCTATATTTTCATTTAATAGTTTCAAGTCTTACATTAAGGGCCTCTATCCATTTTGAACTGATTTTTGTATAGAGTGAGAGATTATCTAGGCTCATTTTTATGTATGTAAATACCTTGTTTTTCCAGGACCATTTGCCTTTTCTTCAGTGTATGTTTTTGGGATGTTTGTTGAAAATCAGGTGGCTTATTTCTGGGTCTATACTTTTGGTCTTTGTATCTGTTTTTGTGCTAGTACCAGGGTGCTTATTTTATGTATCTATAAAGTCTAGGGCCCAGACATGAAAGTATATAGTATTTTTCTACTTATTTAATTTGATTAACACATCACCAGTTGTATCAAATTTCCTGCAAATAACATGGCTTCATTCTTCTTATGGTTGCATACATACATTTTCTTTCTTTCTTTTTTTTTTTTTTGGTTTTTACAAGACAGGGTTTCTCTGTATTGTTTTGGAGGCTGTCGGTCCAGCCCGGCCTCGAACTCACAGAGATCCACCTGCCTCTGTCTCCCGAGTGCTGGGATTAAAGGTGTGTGCCACCACCGCCCGGCTATATATAGTTTTACAAGACTAAAATCTTAGTATCTTCTTAGTATCTCACCTGTTTTTCTTCATCTCTTTCCTCATTATTTTCTGTGGTTCCAGGGATGAGTTTAGGGCCTTGAGGAAGTTAAGCAATAGCTTGCCCCCACCCCCCTTTTTTTTGGTTGAAGAGGGTAACCCATGCTGAGCTCTAATTTGCAAGTCTCCTGCCTCAATCTCCAGGATATTTATTGGATTACATCTGACTTTCCATGCTTTTTGATGACAAATGTATCATCAAAATAATGTAAATTTTTTTAGACAAATGAGAAAGATATAATATCAACTCATCTTAATATTACTTGGCAGTCTCAGGAAGTTTTTTTGTTAAAAACAGTGTTTCAGTGAAAACGCTATCTTCCACAGTAGTCCCTGTCATTCTTCCATGTCATTTCTCATTGATACCGTTTTCTATCTTATTAGTTCTTTCTATTAATCCTGTAAATATATTTCTCTATTTGAAGAAAACGAGCACAATACTTTGCTCACCTCCATTGCCTTATCTATTTTCTTTTGACTTTGCAACAAAACTCCTTATGTGAATGCACTATGCAAACTACATTTTCCCTCTCAGAAATTTTTGGGTTTTGTACACAGAGAAATCACGAAACAGCTCTGTACATTACAGGACATAGTCTACTAATTTCAATGTTCATTCTTGTTTTAGTTATTGTCCTATGGCTGTGAAAAGACACCACAACCATGGCAACTTTTATAAAGGAAAGGGTTTAACTGGGTCTGGCTTACAGATTCAGAGGTTTAGTCCACTGGTGGCACACAGAGAAGGAGCTGAGAGTTTGACATCTGGAAGAGAGAGACACTGAGCCACCCCTCTGAATCCTTTCAACTACTACCTGTGACCAAGTATTCAAATGTATGAGCCTATGGGTGCCATTGTCTATCAAATTACCACAGTTTTTGATTTGACAATTTATCATTCTTATTAGAGTGGCACTTTTCATTTGTTCCTTAACTAGATTCTGAACCACAAACCTTCTTTCAGGTCAGCAATTTTCAAATAAACTCTCTTATACTTTAAACAAGAATATAGTTTCAGAAGTATCTGTTCTTTCAGCTTCTGCGTCTTTAGCCACTATACAATTTACCCTTCAACATTTTTTGGTCATATTATAGTTAATGACCCCTTGTTACATGAAAAAGTAAGTTTTCAGATTAAGAAATATTATAGAGTTCTTCTTTACCCCAATAAAACACAAACACACACAAACACACACACATACACAGAGGACATAAAATTCTCTACTAAGAAAATGGAGACTAAGTATATTAATACAAACCTAACCCAACAAAATACAATTCATTATTCCATATATTCTGTTCAATGATACTCACCCTTTGGATACTCCAGCTCTGTCATTAACAATCTTCACTTCTTTCACAGACCCATACTGGGAAAAAAATTTTCTTAAATCATTTTCATTTGTCTAATGAAATAAAAAGAAATATTAAGAAATATTTTAATCAGTAAAAGATGCAACAACTCCAATGCTTGTTGTGGAGACATAAAAATACAGAAAACAAGTTAAAGAGTACTTCTTATTAAAGAATAGGCAAAACCATTGCTAATAAAATCTATGTACTCTGATTCACATAGATAGCTATTTTAAACTGAATTATTTTAAAACTGCAAAGATTGCTAACTATGTAATGGAATCTTCTAGTGACTTTTAAGAATGCTAACTTGTCTTACGTATACCATAGTTAGGCTGCATTACTACTGGCTCTAGTATTTGGGGAGGGCAGCAATTGCAGCAGTGAAACTAGGTCACAATAGCCTAATCCAGTCATTTTATGGTAATCAACATATGCCTTAGGAAAGGAATGTATTTCCCCAATATTTGTATTTTCCAGAACAAGTTACAAAGTGACTATAACATTTTAAATTATAAGATATTTTATCTGTACTCAACACACATTTTATATAACTACAGACATTATGATGGTACAATAAAATTAGTATAATAGATACAATGTTCAAGATGTATACACAGATGGTTTGGGAATATCTGCTTTTACTGAAATAGATAAGACAACAAAGAGCTATTCCCAGAGTATTTATGGTGAATTCATTGCAATTATTTTTGGGTTCAGTCGCAACCTCTTGCTTGTAAGGGTAACTTTAAGTTTACCTGAAGAACCAAAAGATGTCTTAGAGCAGTCACTTGTTTGGAGTTCAACTGTTACCTCATTTACTTAAGTACGTGATTTGTTATTTTAGATGATAACATTAAGCCTGTTAAATTGTACAATGACAAACACTAATCTAAGAATAAGTGAATTATTTTTATTTTAGCAACTAATTTCTAAAACTGGAATCAATGATAGAATGAGAACACTACTCTCTGGTAGTGTCCCTCTTCCTTAGTCACTAACTCAGTCACTAACTTATAGAGTAAGGGGAATGACTGAACCTGCAGAGGGACAGTCCGTAAAAGTCGTAAAAGTCTGACCCTGTTGGCTACTACAGGAAATTATTTTGTGGTTTTTGAAGATATGTTTCAAGAGAAAGAATTCTGTTACAACTGTGGCTGCATAGAAACAATGATCACTAAGATTCATACTGTCCTTGATATGTTTTAGTGACTTAGAGGAAAATGTCTGGATTTATTGAAGTTATTTTAAAAGTTCACTAAGATGTTTAATATAAATGAACTTTAAGCACGAATACCCATATTTTCCATAGGTACAGAAAATCTTTCGAAAGATAAGTAATTTTATAAAGCATATTTATTTATAGTGAAACAATCACATATTAAGAATCATTATTTTGACAAGTACACTAAGCATAACATTTTTCTTAAGTAAAAGAAAAAGTACTTTTTCCTAAATTGTGATAGAGTACATGAAAATAAGGTAGGTGTCAAAAAAATCACACATAATGGCACCTTTTATTATAAAAGGCATCTATCCTTATAACTTCTAATATGTAAACTTAAGAAACGATTGTAAGCACTGAACTTAGTGACTTTACAAGCTAGGTAAACCTCTACCACCAAGTTATATCCTTGGCTCAAGTAAGGGTATGTGATTATACCTTTCATTTACATATCTATCATTACTTCATATACAGGATTACTGAAAATCATTTCAACCATGCTGTTCTGAAAGAGAGAAATGGCTGATGAGCTGATTAAGCACACTTTTTGTACAGATTCTCTATCTGGACCACAAGGCCTTTTAAATGATCAGATCACAAATGCTATCAAAGAAAGCGATTTGTAATAAACTGAAGACTAGGACATGGCTTAAAAATGCCAAATCAAAGTTAGGAAAAAGATACAGGGTTTTGGGCTAGAGAGATGGCTCAGAGATTAAGAACACTGGTCCTGAGTTCAATTCCAGTAACCACATGGTGGTTCACAACCATCTATAATGGAATCTGATGCCCTCTTCTGGCATGTAGGTGTATATGCAGACAGAGCACCATATATGTAAAATAAATAAATCTTATAAAATTTCATATATATATATGTATGTATATATATAGTTTTTTTGGTTTTTACGAGACAGGGTTTCTCTGTATTGTTTTGGAGGCTGTCGGTCCAGCCCAGCCTCGAACTCACAGAGATCCACCTGCCTCTGTCTCCCGAGTGCTGGGATTAAAGGTGTGCGCCACCACCGCCCAGCTATATATAGTTTTACAAGACTAAAATCTTTAAGTTTTCATTTGAAAATTGAAATAATTATCTAGGTAACTGGAGCATCATGTAAGAAAGTATAACTGAAAAATCAAGAATATTAAGCAATGAGTGAGAAAAGCAGATTACTTAAAAAGAAGAAAGAGGAAAAGGTAGATTTCCAACAATATGTGACAAGGGGCATACAGCAATGAAGGAAGCCTCAATTTCCTTGTGTGCAAGACTGGACAAGTACACACATGTAAATTAAACCACTATTGTTAAACCGGTTATTTGTAGTTAGACCAAGACAATGTGAAGCCTATTAGCCAATGCAAATGTATTTTTATAGTCAAATGAAGTATTCAATTGTAAACAAAAACAAAACACCTTTCCTTTCCCCCCACCTTGTTGCACCCACAAATAGTTACCTTAAAGTCAATTCCTCCTACGAAAATGCGGTTAGGGATCACGGTTCCGTATCGTGGGGCACTTGTCGGGTTATTCAAAGGCACAGGTGACACAGGATTAGGGGATGGAGATAATGAATCTGTTTGTGTCTGATTTGTTGTTTGCTGTAAAATAAAGTCATTTAAAACACTGAGCACTGGGCATGAGTTTTAATGCAGGGCCATCAAAACAGTTATTTAGGCAAAATGTCATATACTAGACTTGAATTTTATTCCAAAATTACAAAGACTAAAATTAGAGTTCATAGCTTTTGGGGGAAATAAAAAGTAAATGAAGTGCTTCACTCTGGAGAAGTGCTTACTATTAAATGTACTGCTAAAATATACTTACAATAATTATGAGGCATGCGATTTGTTAAGGAAGAACACTAAATATGTAGGCTGTGATGATGCATGCTTTTAATCCCAGCACTTGGGAGGCAGAGGCAGGAGGATCTCTGTGAGTTCATGGCCAGCCTGATCTACAAAGCAAAAAGCACTGAATTCATAAAGAAGTCAGAGAGAGAGGAGGGGAGAGAGAGAGACAGAGACAGACAGACAGAGACAGAGAAGATGCTCTGCCCCAGCCATTTTGTCCAGCAGTGAAAAACTGGCCTGGCACTCAGCAGTGCTGTTCTCTTGTTAAAGAAGATCAACACCGGACAAAGTCACTAAAATTACAATGGACCAAAAGAAAAAGAAGCATTCTTTAATCATTCCTGAATACTGATAAAAAGAAAAACACTGTCGAAGCTATGAGAATTACAACTGCATCTCCTTTATCAAATTTACTTAAGTAATAATTTATACAATGCACTCCAGGTAAAGCCCTTTTCCCTGAAATCCTGTCTAAAAGTCTCAAGCCTATATTGTCTAAATCAAGTTCTTAACACCCGAGAGGACCCACGGTGTACTTTCTTCCTAGTTCCAATGACTTCACAGACACAACTCAATTACAGATGTGTTCTTGGTAGTCTTTGGCTAAAGAGTACTGGCAAGTTAATAAATTTGCATAATTTTAGTCTGAAAGTCAAAATTTTAAATGCATGTATCTTTTTGGAAACTAGGCTGGTTCTTAAGAAAATTACACATTGATGGGTGAAGTGGGGGAGGCAGAAGCAGGTAGATTTCTGTGATCCAAGGCTAGCCTGGTTTGCACAGTTCTAGGCCAGTCAGGTTTAATCATTGAAAAATTTACATACCTAAACATTACAGATCTAAACACTTAACTATACATTTACATGATAAAGAATTGAGCTCAGTATATATCCATTATGTTCATATTTCTAAATTGGAAGGCTTATCAATATCAATGTATAAGATTTTGCATAATGACAACCAAATAGACTAGTATGACGAAAAAATCAAGAAACACATTAAAAAACTATTATTTCTTTCTGGGAAGACTAAATAGACTTTTGAAAAAGTCTATCATACTACTTCAAAAATACTAAAGTTCATAATTCATTGAGACACATCACAATGAAGTTTTATTTTAGATCGTAGAGTTGTTCTTTTCTATATTTGTCCTTTTTCATTTTATTGACCAACAAAACCACTATCTTAGATGTTCTTATGGTTAAAATAAAAAAGACAAATCCCCTGTCCTCATAAATATTATATCATAGCACAAAGTAACATAATACATGGCATGATAGAAAATGGAAAGATGGATAGTAATATGTAATACTAATAGAATAGTTATTTCTGTTTCAACAAAGGAAATCTAACTGTAAACAGTACCAATGACATTCTAGAAAATATTGTACTACCAGAGAAAGTCTTCTAGCTTCAATAGATACAACCTTGTCTCTTTGCCCATTTATTTATAGCTCAGAACTTGTTAAATGGTAATAAAAATGTCTTCAGAAAATTCTCTAAAAACAAAGGAGTTCTATCGATAGTCTGTCCTCACATTTAAATAAGAAGACAAACTCCATCAATTTTCCTGTGAGAGGTGGATGAAAACAGTCCCAATGAAGAGACTTCAGCCTACTCACCGGGGGAAAAATAGTTTTTTAAACAACCAATTTGCTTCATTCCCTTGTTTTAAAGGCTCCTATTCTGTTGTGGATGTCAACTGCTTACTTTTTTCTTTATTATTTTTCACCTTCTAATATAATATATATCTACCTGCCACTTTGCACTATGCTACAATATTCATGAGAGCAGGAAGTTCGCCTATATATATATTAAACACTGCAATGTGTAAACCAGTGACATGACATAGCAAGTGTTCAACGAGTATTTGTTGGATGTATGAACAAACAGATATTTGTTCCAGGAGAAATCTGCTTAGCATGTGCTGAATATCTGGATAAGGCCCGAAGTACCAGTAATATTCTAGAACACCCTGTATTGTTCGCAGCCACAAGTCTTGGATAGAGGTAGTGTCTACGTTCCTTAGAGATTAGCACTGGCTCTAACACGGGGAACCTCTAATTGCCAACCGTTTGAAAGCATGGCATGGCGGTAGGGGCCCGCTCCCCGGTTGTTAGCATGGGCCCTCCGCCTGGTAGTAAAGCTTGGCTACTAAGAAGCTTAGGAGGACAATTTCCAAAGTAACATGGCCTCACGGCCTCCTTTCTCTAGAACTTAACGAGAACCCGTGTTTGCGAGGCCAAGAGGAAGAGGTGGGCTAACCGTCGCAGTCACCGCCTCGGTGCTCCTTCCCCTCTGAGGCCAGCAGGCGGAGGCGATGGGGGAAATGGCCGAAGTGACAACTTCGTCGGGTTCTCTCGGGTCATCGTGAACCGAGGCACCGACGCGAGGATCCCCCCCCTCCCCACCAAAGTGCGGGAGGGAAAAGAAGGCGAGCCAGCGAGAAATTTTGCCAGGCAAACCCGCCAGCAGCGGTGGCGGGAACCCTCAACGGCACCGACCGCGCGCCAGCCGCCTCGTGCGCAGCAGCGGGCCGCGGCTGCGTTGGCGCCCGCTGATTGGCTGTCGGCCGGCACGGGGCGGGGCGCGGCGGCACGTTACCAGGCGGCGCTGGGGCCCGTAGGCCCCGGGCCTGGCCCAGGCCTGCCTGGCTGCGCGCGTAGCTCCGGCCTTCCCGAGCTCAGGCCTCCCCGGGGGCGGAGTGTCGACGGCCACTCGCCTGGTGGCCGCGGGCGACGGCCATGCGTCTCCGGAAGGGCGAGCGTCGAGGGTGCCCCAGTTTGGGTGGGAAAGCGTTTCGGGGCTGCCGCTCGCTGGTTGAGCAAGGGGGGGGCAGAGCCTGCCCGCCGTCTCCGGCCGTTTTCCCGCGCCGCCCACCCGCCCGCATGAGCCGCCCCTTCTCACACACCCGACCGACGGGGACCGCACCACCTTCCTCCCCAACCGAACAGCGAGCGTTTTCGGCCCCGAAGCACACCCTTCCAACCCTCGGAGGCCGCGCCGCGCGGGGCCCACACCCAGCACTCACCGCCCGTGACTCGGTCTCCATCTTTCCCCTCCACTCTTCAGAGAGGCAGGAGGCGCCGCAGCTTCAAATTGGAAGGCGCGTTCTGAGGAAGCGAGCCAACGCGGCTCCCGTCGTCGGGGACTCGCTCCCCCTGGCGGCAGCGGCGGGGACTGCAGCAGCGCGGCGGGGCAAGCTGGGGGGGGGCTATATGGAGGAGGCGCTGTGCGCAGGCCCCGGGGACGCTCGGCGTGTGACTGTGCGTACTGCGAGGGGCGGCGTGGGACCACGTGGGACAGCATGTGACTTTCGCGTACTTCGAGGGGCAGCGCGGGAGGACAGCCTGGGACTGCGCACACAGCGAGGACCCTGTAGGATGCACTGTAGCCAGCTGAGAGCTGTGAGCCACACACTGTAGCTGTCCAAGCGCTGGAAAGCCGATCTGGGTCCTCAATTCCAGCACGGCCCATGGGGACTTCTGAAGACAGTTTCCACGTGCAAATCACACTCCCTCCCCGCAGTGACTGTCACTGTCCCCTGTCAGGTCCGACAGGGCAGTGCAGTCCAGGTCACTTGTAGGGTAGCTGAGAACAGGAGGGACCGGGAGTTTGGTTAATACCTTTAATCCCAGCACTCGGGAGGCAGAGGCAGGGGGATCTCTGTGAGTTAGAGACCAGCCTGGTCTACAAAACAAGTGTTCCAGGATAGTTAAGGGCTACACAGATGCAGCCTTCAAAAGTAACTATTAGTAAGCAGAAAAAAAATGGGCAGAAAATTTAGTATTACCTACAGATCCCTCAATACTACTAGGTGTAGGGAAAAGGGACAAGTCAAAGAAACACACCTTGAGCAGAGCCAAAGAAACACACTTTGGCCCTGCAACCAGAACCAAAGAAATGTCCCCTGACCCTGAAACCAGAGCCAAAGAAGCAAACTTTGTCCCTGGAATCAGAGTCAGTGAAAGAAATACACCCTGGCCCTAAAATTGGAGCCAAAAGGCTATAAAGGACCAGAGAAAAAAACACATTTTGGCTCTGAAACCAGAGCCAAGTCTGAACCTAATCCTGTGTGGAAAACTAACCAATCCCTGAGCAGAGCTCTAGCCAATCTGAGCTCAGCACTAAGATCTGACCAATCCCCATCCTGGAAACCCTATATAAACCCTGTGTCTGTTCAGCTTGTGGCTGTTCGTGCTACCAGCCTGTTTGAGGGCAGTCACTCTCCTGGATTCTTCCCTTCTAATAAACCCCTTCAATGAGCTTTGGGTGAAGATCTTCTTTTGCGCAGAGGCGACCCTGGGCAGAGCAGAGCTAGCAGGACTGTAACACTTTTGCCGGGGAAACCTTCCCTTGTGGAGTTGTTACACTCCGCTCCCAGCTTCTTGCTCCCAGCTCTCCAGGAGCAGAGCTGAACTGTAGCCGAGGAACCTCCTGTGGAGCAAAACTGCTACACTGGGCAAACACCCCCGCTGGAAGAGCCTGTCCTTCCATGAGTGGAGCCTTTCCCTGAGGCTGGGCTGTAAGCAGCTAAGCTTACTGTGGTAGTCCTTGGCTCCCGAGCTCCAGGATACCTTTCCACCTGAGCTGTGTAACACTCAGTATTCTGTGACTCCCGAGTGCCGGAATACCTGACCCACTCCTGTTCCATCCCGATCAGACCCGAAACGCTTACATTTGATGCCGAAACCCCGGAAATGCCAACACTGGGTGTTGGAAATTCCCAAAGGACAATTCTAGAATATGATTTAAAATCTGAATACATTTATATTTTCCTTCTCTAAAGACACTAAAACCCGAGAAAATAAGTTTTAATTGTATGCAGATATATGACAACTTTTAGGATGCTTCATCTAAAATTAACTATTTGTTTCTCATCTTTGGTGAATAACTAGGCTTTTAGGTACTTTTGGTAATTAACCTTTGGGAATATTGACATTAATATTGTGAAAAGTGTTACAGCCCTGCTCTGTCTGCTCTGCTCTGCCCAGGGTTGTCTCTACTCCTGAGAAAGAAGGTCTCACCCAAACCTCATTTGAGAGACTTATCGGTAGGAAGAATCCAGGAGAGTGGCTGCGCTCTGCCAGGTGGCAGAGGACAGCCAGGCAGCCCGATAGCCACAAACTGAACAGGCACAAGGTTTATATAGGACTTCTTAGGGGCAGAGTTTTTCCAGGGAGATTTCCAGGGTGGGGATTGGTCAGATTTCAATTCCTGAGTTTAGGATGGCTAGATCTGCTGCTTCAGGGATTAGTTTTCTGCACAGGTTTAGGGTCAGGTTTGGCTCTTGTTTTTTAGGGACAAAGTATGTTTCTTTCACTGGTCCTTTTAGCTTTTTGGCTCTAATTGTAGAGCAAGGATGCATTTATTTCATTGGCTCCGATTCCAGGGACAAAGTGTGTTCTTTTGGCACTGGTTTCAAGGCCAGGGTGCATTTCTTGGGTTCTGATTACAGTGCCAAAGTGTGTTTCTTCTGCTCAGGATGTGTTTCTATAGCTGGATTTCGCTCTACATATATGATTCAATTTAATAGACAAATGTAGAGGTTTTATACTCAGCACGTAATGGGATGTGCTATTGGAAGGTAAAGTTTAAACATTGGTCCTCAAGGCCTTTTGAATGTAGAAGAGGCCAAGCATGGTGGTTTGTGTCTGTATCCCTAGTTACCCGTGAGGCTGAGGCAGGAGGACTCTTGAGTTCACAGTTGCTTTTTCCAAGACAGAGTTTCTCTGTGTTGCACTGGCTGTCCTGACACTAGCTCTGTAGACCAGGCTTACAGAGATCCACCTGCCTCTACCTCCTTAGTGCTGGGGTTAAAGGTGAGCCCACAGTTTGAGACCAGTCTGGGTAATATAAGAACATCATCTCAATAAATAAATTATAAGATGAGAAAAGGTCAATTTGTACAAATAGTAATTATATTTAAATATGCTCACAATAAATAAGATACAAGTGAAATAAGATAAAAGATACATGAACTATGATCAAAATGCTGTGGGAATGTAGATGATAACACTGGCAGGGCTGGGAAGGGTCATAATTAAGCCTGGAGTGCTGTTGTGGGAGGAAATGGGAGGGGAAGCTCTGAGACCTTATTATGCACACAGTGCTGGGATATATAGTTTTATAAAACCTTTATGGAGGAGACAAGGTTTCACAGTGTGCCTCATCTGGCTTAGAACTATACAGCCTAGACTAGTCTGTAGCTCATGGTGATTCCTGCTTCAGCCCTTGATGGCTGCAGTTACAAGACTGTGCCCAACACACCTGGGTTTTCTATTAAAATCTCATTAAATTTAAAAACAGTTATATTTAGTGTGTGTATGTGCATGTGTGTATACACAGGGAGGCCAGCGTAGGGAAAAGGGGCACACCTTGAGCAGAGCCAAAGAAACACTTTGGCCCTGCAACCAGAACCAAAGAAATGTATGGTGACCCTGAAACCAGTGCCAAAGAAACACACTTTGTTCCTGGAATCAGAGCCAGTGAAAGAAACACACACTGGCCCTAAAACTAGAGCGAAAAGGCTAGAAAGGACCAGAGAAAGAAACACACTTCTGCTCTGAAACCAGAGCCAAATCTGACCCTAACCCTGTGCAGAAAACTAATCAATCCCTGAGCAGGAGATGTAGCCATCCTAAGCTCAGGGATTGATACCTGACCAATTCCTACACTGGAAAACTCTGTTCTCTAAGAAGCCCTATATAAACCCTGTGTCTGTTCAGCTTGTGGCTGTTTGGGCTAAGCTGTCCTCTGCCACTCTGGCAGAGGGGAGTCACTCTCTTGGATTCTTAAATCTCTTGAATGAGGTTTGGATGAAGATCTTATGGTGGAGCAGAGACAACCCTGGGCAGAGTATAGCAAGCAGGGCTGTAACACTTTTGCCAGGGAAACCTTCCCCTGGCAGAGCAGAGTATAACAACTCTCCTGGGAGCAGAGCTGAACTGTAGCAACTTCACCCTGGAAACCCTCTCTTCCCTGGGCAGAGATGATACACTAGGGAAGACTTTCCCTGAAGCAAGGCTGTGAGCTGCTATGCTTACTATGACCTGTGGTATTCCTTGGCTCCCGAATGTCAGAATACCTTTCTATCCAAGCTGTAACACTCAGTATTCTTTGGCTCCTGAGTGCTGTAATTCATCCCTGTCCATCACATCCGATCCGTCAAAATGCTTACAGTCAGAGAACAATTTGTGGGAGTTGGTTCTCTCTCTCTACTTCGTGGACCCCCAGGATCAATCTCAGGTAGTCTGCCTCGGCAGCAAGTGCCATTACCCTCTGAACCATCTTGCCAGTCATTGCTTTGTCCTTCATCTTAATAGTCTTTCTTTCCAACTGGAATTTGAGTCTTAGAGAGGCAAGAATCACATTGTTAGTAAGGGTTGGGTGCAGTTTTCAAGGCTTAATTCTGTTTGCCTCCTTTGTACAATACATTTTTGCTGTGGGATAATCCTGTACTCTGTGAATGTGTATTCTTCTCATTGGTTAATAATAAAGCTAAATTGGCCTATAGCCTGACAGAATAAGGCTAGGTGGGAAAGCCAAGCGGAGAGACAGGGCAAAGATGGGCAGGGTCAAGAGAGATGCGAGCCAGCCACCAGAGGAACAAGACATGCTGGAGAACAGGTAAAGGCACAAAGTCTCATGGCAAAATGTAGATTAATAGAAATGCGTTAATTTAAATTGTAGGAGGTAGTTAGCAATAAGCCTGAGCAATAGGCCAAACATTTTGGAATTAATATAAGCTTTTGTATTATTACTTGAAACTGGGCAGTTGGTACAAAAGAAAAGTTCTGTCTATGTTTACATATTCTCACAATTTCATTCTGGGGACCTTTGCAAATTAGAGCTACTAAAGATAACTAAGGTTACCTAATCAGTGTCAAACTTACGAAGATATTCTGTTGGGATTTTGATCTCGCCTGTCCACTAAAGCTCAAGTGTTGTTTCCCAGCTGGTGGTAGTACAGGAGGTGAAGGAAAATTAAGGGAAGTCAGATGTTAGGTGTGTACCATAAGTGGATAATAGGAGCCTGCCAATTCTTTTCATTGCTTTCCTGCTATTATGAGGCAAAGAGCTTTCTTCCAAACATGTTCTCCATCATATGCCTTGCCTATGATAGGCTCAAAATTAAGGGGCCAAGTGACCAAGGACTGAAAT